AAAAAAGAAGAGCAGGCAAAAAACCCCTACAGACGGCAGGCCGTAAGTCGGCCAGTTTGTAACACGACTGCATAATAATATAATTTTCTATTATCTCTCAGAGCAATTCCAATGGGTTATCAGACACAGTATTCAAACATTTAACCACCATTTATATGGTATAAATTTTTTTATTTTTTTTTATTCCAATGTGGTTATCAAATGAGGGTTCTATTTTAACCTCTTGGGATGTAAATATGCTTGCCGGAATTCGAGTTATAAAATATGTAACTATCTAAACATCCAATAACAAGTTGACACGTGTCAATTACAAATAAAACCACCCATAAACTTTCAATTGACAATTAATTTGATAACCATGCTTGGAGTAGATGAATTCTAATCAATATATATTCAAATGTTATCTCAAATATCAAACGAATATTTGATAATTCAATTTTGATATTTACCTTTGGAGTTGCTCTTATTAGATGCCAATTATATTGGACTAATCATGGATCCTATATTGCAATGTAATTTTCATTATTAATTAATTAATTAATTAATTAATTAATTAATTAAATACATTTATATTATTGGATAAATTACGACTACCCTTGAGGTAAGGTTTAATTATGAAAAAAATTCATCATATTTTGGTAATTACAACCATCCCTTAACTATGAATGGTGTCAAATAGTTGAATCTTCTCCAATATGTACTTGTTTTACCCCATTCGAACTCCACATTTTGAAACAAGATGATCACATACATAATGTGTCTGTAAATATTAGATCATGTGGCGCATTGAAAACTAGAGAATATTTCACGGAACCTATAGTATTATGTTGAATTCGACACTATAAAAATGAACGTATAAGAAGATTCATATTTAATGGAATGATTATAATTATCCAAATATTAGGAATTTTTTTCGTAATTTCACATTAGCTCAGAGGTAGTCGTAATTTAACATAAATTATTTGATATTTCTACCTAACAGAATATCTTCATTTATTATTACATGCATCCAACTAGATTCTCAAAAAAGTGAACAAATATTATTATACTATATATATAGAGCAACCGGCCTCCTAAGTCCTAACTATCTCTTATGAGTCTTAATAATTCCCATTACCTCAAATTCAACATATTTATTTAATAAAAAAAATAAAAAAGAAATATCTATATAAATATGCTCGACCTTACATAATTAGAAATTAGAAACAAATTCTAAAATAATCCAAAAAAAGATTGACAGATTAAATATTATATATATTAATGGGTAAGTACTGTAATAACGCCGCCGTGTTTTGGCTCACTACACTAGTCGTACTCGCCGCAGCTGCAACAACACCATTAACAGCCCATGCACAATTAATGCCGCCAGGGCGTCGGAGTGGCATGGCTGTAACCGGCCAGCTTTGCTGCACGGCCACCGGAAATTGCCCGGGCGGCCAAGGCGTCGCCGGCGCGGACGTCAAGTTGACGTGTTATCCTAGTAGCGCCGCCGTACGCAGCGGCCAAATAATTGTCCAGAATAGTACAGACGGCGGCGGTTACTTTAGGATCCTTGTTCCTGGAGAAGAAGGGCTTATACTTAGATTCGAGATTCCATGCTTCGTCACTGTTAATCTTCCTTTGATGGCGGCGGGCGGCGGCGCTCAGGTCTGCGCCGCCTTATCCACCACCAGTGGCACCCTTTTCTCCACCGTCGAACTCTCCCGCACACTTGACCGTGTCATCACTACTGGGTTCTTCCGTGCCCTGTAAATCTTTTTTCATTTTTTTTTTGGGCAATTATTAAATCTACGTAGCTAGTGTGTTGTTTCAAATAATAATAACACCGGGTAAATTTCAACCACCCCCCTCATTTTTTCATATTTACATTTACTCCTTGTAATTTGTTGATTTTTTACATTAACACCCTTCTGGAGGGAGTGACTGTAAGAAATTTACAAACTAAAGGGACTAGATGTAATTTCAAAAAGATCGGATCGTTGTAATTTACCCTATCCTAATAACAATAATACTGGGGAAGGAATTGATGTTTTTGTTATATTGTATTTTTTTTTTCTCTTGCATATGTAACAATCACAAGGGATTTTAATTTTTTTAAGGGTAAATTACACCCACACCCCTGAGGTATACTTAAATAACTTTAAGGTCCCTGTGGTATCGATAATTACATCCACCCCTTGAAACGTAGTTATAAATTCTAATGGGATAATGCATTGGATACGTTATTACGATAGAGTTATAACGGACTATTGGTTTAAGGAAGTCGTGGAGACAACAAAGAGTTATGGGTGATTTAAGAAATATATTGGGGGAGCCATGTCACCCCAAAACTCCTCATAACTCTATGTTATCTCCACCACTAGCTAAAAGTAATAGTCCATTAGAATCCTATCGGAATATTGTATCCAATGCATTATCCCGTTAGAGTTTCTAACTACGTTTCAGGGGGGTGAGTGTAATTATCGATACCATAGGGACCTTAAAATTATTTAGGTATACCTCAGGGGTGTGGGTGTAATTTACCCTTTTTTTAATTACTCCATTTCTTTTTAAATTTCATAAAAAATAGATGCGCACTAACTGAGAAAGTTATTAATTAGTCTCCTTTTGTAATTTTGTAGCGAAAAAGTCCTTTTAGTTGTTTCTTTCATTTAAAGAGATTAAGGTGGTGTTTGCAAACATTTTTCCAAAGCGATTTGAGCTTTAATGTTTAAAGGAAACTGATTTTGAAACAAAAAAACTCATAATCACTTTGAAAAAGCGTCTGCAAACACTACCTAAAATCCGAGGCTTCCACAAACCCATATTTCATTTATATAAAAATAAAATAAAAATCTTTCCAAAATATGCAAATTTAACTTACTTTTGAAAACAATTAAGCAGCATTCTTGGTTTTTTAAAATATAATTTAATATATTGTAGGTCTGCCCTTCAGGCTCATGGTCTCTGTTGCTAAATACTAATTTAAAAAATTCCCACACATTAGTTTTACATGAGAGCTACAAAATACCACAATATATATGCCAGTTTGCAAAATGAACATCTCTCAAAAAGTTAAATTCCTAGTCACATAAGACTATCCCTATTAATATACAAAACTGACAAAAGGGGTCCCCCCAGTTATACCATTAAACGACTCCCCTCACTGGCGGTGTATCGGCGGTGTGGGCGGCTGATGGCTTTGCCCGTAAAATCCAACACCTATAGGCCTGTAATATCCACCGCTCGTAGGCTGCTGTGGCTGCCCTTGCTGGCTCTGCCCCACCTGTTGCTGCTGCTGTTGTTGCTGTTGTTGCTGCTGTTGCTGCTGAGGTGGCATAGCGAACCCCATGGGCCCACCATTAGGCGGCATTAAGTTGCTTACACCGTAGCCATAGGGCATTCCCATCATAGGATTCGCCGGAAGTGGTGCAACAGGCGGCGGAGGAGGGAGGAACGGAGGCTGTAACTGGGAAAGAGGCTGTGTGGTGCCGCTAGTAAAATAGGCGGAGTTAGCTCCGTCGGAGGTGTTCTTCGCGTCGGAGAATTGCATTGGCGGCTCTAGCTTGGGCCTTTTCAAGCCGCTGCTCATGGAAGCGGCCTCCTCTGCTACGAGGGAGGAGAGAATGGAGGTGAGCATTTGGGCGGAGGAAGTTGAGGCGGCCAATTTTGCAGCAACGGCGGCGGCAGTTGCCTTCTTGCTCTCCTCTTCGCCGGAGCTGGCAAATGAAGTCAAGGGATAGGCAGGTGGCGGCACAGGCATAGGCATAGTCATAGTCATAGGCATAGGCATACTCGTATTGAAAGTGGGCTCCACCATGATCGGTTGACTGACAGCTGTCGGTGCAGTGGAAGAAGTTGATGTTATAAGCTGTTGCCTCATGTTGGCTGCTTGCTCAATCTGACCTCGAGCAACCTGCATGATAATAACTAAGTTCGTCAATTACAAATACGCCCTCGAGGCATTAAAACGCTAATTGTAATTTGCAATCTGAAAACATTGTTATGTTTCTTCATTAAAAGGCTAAACCCCAAGGATGTTTTCTAATTAATTTAATCATATATGTATCGAACAAATATATATATATATATATATATATATATATATATATATATATATATATATATGTAGAGAGAGAGAGAGAGAGAGAGAGAGAGAGAGAGAGAGAGAGAGAGAGAGAGAGAGAGAGAGAGAGAGAGAGAGAGAGAGAGAGAGAGAGAGAGAGAGAGAGAGAGAGAGAACGTACAAGTAACTCGCTGCGAATCTGCTCGAGCTTTGATTCCTGCGACGCTATAACTTGTCAGAGATTGAAATAAAAATTGATAAAGTGAATTAAGTGGTTACAGAGTACATATTCTCGTAAATATTACGGTCCGCATTTAAACACACAGACTATATTACAGAATTACATATAAATAAACAAATATTAAACCATACTTGATCCTGAAGTGCTTCTCGAAGCTGGGAAACAAGAGCAGCTCTAACTGCTTCAGAGTTTTCAAGTTTGGTAACACAGTGTTGTATAATGTTCTCCTGTTTCTGTATATTATCTACCACATCAGAAGCATTCATGTTTCCTAAACACAAAGTTAAAGATCCACATCAGCGCATTAAAAAAAAAACGCAACAAATTCGTATAAACCTCAACAGAAAATTATTAAGGAAATTAACTCAAACCAGACCTTGAGACGAAGCATGTACAACATCTTTCTCTATTTCTCGTACATTAGAAACAGCACTACGATATTTGTTTAAGGCTACTTCTTCTTTGACAGCTTCATCGTGTACCAACTGCAAAGAAGTTAGAATCCTTTCTGGCAAACCTCCAACAGCCAATTTCTGCATGCAATGAACATAAAAATAATCAAGAAATGTCGAAACGAAATATGAAAACAACTTCGGGAATATAATCAATGTGGAATTATAATACTTACAACTCTCAAGGAGGTGGCATCTCTCTTCATCACCTTGATAGGATTCGAATTCTTGACATTGTTGATGGGGGGAGATTTCCCCACTATTTCATTTTTAAGATTTTGGCCCCTCGATCCGAAAACTTTTCTTTCTTCCCAAATGTCAACCTGATTTAAAGCGCATCGTATTAGTAAAAATAGGGAGAGGAGCAATATCCATAAAGCTCAGAGAAGCTTTAGCCCCCTGCCGCCAGGTCAGCAACTTAGTCCCATACACACAAACTCTAATATGACTACTGAACAGTGTATAAGGATCCTTCATAGTGGTGCATTCTAAATACTTGTCTGTAATAACGAGAGATATCTCCAGATTTATGGTTGCAATATTTTCAGAGGCAACAATAAAAAGTTCTAACATCCCCATATATTGAAATTCACACAAGCCACAAACACGGCGAGTAAACTGAAATTTGTACAAGCTTAGATGACAAAGGAAAACCCAAAAGATGGTCAAAAAATCAATGAACCAACAAATAGAACTCTAATCGTTAGATTCTATCCTCTTGTCGAAAACAAGGAATCAAACACTAGGAAAAAAAAAAAGAGCCTATGAGGATAATTAAGGAACCAAAGTCAATTTCCCAAGCATATTTTACCTATTCATGCCATCTGATTAAGCCATATAATAGATTAATTTCCTTTTCATAATATAAAAAGAGGTCAAGGAAGGAAAAATGAATGAAATTACCAATCTGGAGGCAACTTTTCTGCCATTCTCACCGCCACCACTGTAAAGACCCTTGAGAGCTGCTGGAAGAACCTTCCAGAATTCATTCACAAATTCACTGCCCTTGCGCCTGCTATTTTGCAGGATGTCGTTCGACAAGTATAAGTAGGCAACCTGCTGCTCATGCTGTGCAGCTTTGTATAATTTCTCCCATGTTTCAACAACTTGCTTAGCCTTTTTGCGGTGAAGTATGCACCACCGAGATACAGCTAATCGTATGTTAAGAAAAAAAAAAAAAAAAAAAACTTCTCTATAATGAACACGAAAAATGTGACTAATCATTAGCCAAATCAAATTTCACATACAGATTCGATGAAGACTGAGAAATTTAATTATATTTTTTTCTCATGAACCTTTCAAGGACAGACTGCTTTGGTGGGAATTGTATCCCAGGGCAAGTGTCAATTCCAGACAAGGAAGTCGAGTTCATTGATGATTGGATGTATACAAAATAAAAATACAGAAAATTGCATATACTGCTTTACCGTCATTATTAGACTATTTGTATAAAATCTACAGCCATATCTTAATTTTTGCAATTTGCAGCTATTTGGAAAGAGAGCAACACATCAAGAAATTTAGCAGAAATCAGTTCTTATTTGACCATCAAAGAACTTTCCAGACAACCTAAATTTTACATTTGGTCAAGGCAAGATAAATTGAAAATAATGTTCTACATCCTCAGTTCCATAGATACTTGAAGGATATCCTACTACCATGCATAACATGGTACAGTATCGAGCAATCACACAGCAAAAATGCACAAAATGAAGAAAAAAAATGTATGAATGACAGACTAAGTAGTTATTATATGTAATATACGAGTGCTGCAGCCAATTCTGTTGAACATGATGCTACAATCTCGAAAATTAAAATATCAACAATGAGTTTGAGTCCCACGAGAAAGGATACATTCAATGCTCTGCTGAGAACCGTTGACTTTAGCCAGTTTCTCAGTCAGTAAACCATCATCAAAACTCTCATCACCCATTCTGTTGTTTGAGAAAATCTACTATGAGTTCCTGCAATAATACATGAAATATTAATATCCATAAATGAGAGTGTAACGAGAATTGTTTAGGATGGTATGGCGAAAAGATGAAAATTGAAAGCCTAATGCATGTCGAAAATTTGAGGCAGTTGTCACATAACCAAGACTAAAAGAAGGTTACAAAAATAATCTCCGCAATAGAACTGAGATCAACTTGAGAGTAATATTTATGTCTAACAACTTCGTTTTCTTAAATTATCTTCACCAACCATTTTCCTGTGCAGGCAAATTGATCCATTTTCATTGATCAAAGCATTTACTTTAAATTACAAAATATAGTAGACAACTTTTTCAACATATATCTTCATAGTTAAAACATTTCAACTCAAGTAGCATTATTAATCTGTTTAAGAAAATGTGAACTGAAACATACAACAAGAACAATAAAAACGAGTAAAAAGAAGACCGGTTAACAAGTGGACAAACTATAATCTATCACTTCAATCATAATGTTTTGGCGGGTTTTCACTCTTAAGTTATTTAAATGGTTTTCAGGAAGGTTTCTCACCTTAGGTACATGCACCCCCTATCATTGTCTTGCATGAAAATGGATTGAACTCCAAAATTAGATAGAGAAAACAGTGAATATGGTATATGTATTTACAAACTTAGATGTGTTTTTCTGTGTAATTATCCTACTTTCTTTGATGCCCTCGACAACAAAACGACAACCCAATTTGGACCTGCTTGTGACACGGTTTACTCCTAATATATCCCAGGTGTAACAACTGCAGACTGATGCACAAGAACTTTCTCACTACAATGAAAATAACAGCATACATTTTATTGACGGTACATGCTAGTTTAAGTGCAGATCACTTTCAGATAATGCAGCTATGCTACACATGTACATATATCATACCACATATGCATGTAAGATAGTCATATACATTCCATAATCATATCATAATACGTTTTTGGTGTATGTACGTTATTGCTTCCAATTTCATTCTCATAGCGCCATCCATTAGAGAAGTCTACCATACAGTAAGAATAAATACCAATTATCGCTGCTAAGTAAACAATAAACAAATAAATATTCACCAACTGAGAACTCCATACAATGGAAAAGGAATAAGCCTTCTCCATGAAAACTTACACTTGAATTCCCATAAACCGTATCTTCAATTCCCTAACAATCGACGAGCCCTGAAAAAAACAAGGAAATCACCAATGAGATGTTTTCAAATTTCAACATGAACCAAGGAATTGACATGATACCGTGCTCATTTTTTAAATACTGTAATTTTGTATCGAACGAAAAATTTATCACATATTACAACAGTAGACATGGAGTCATTCAAACACACGAATAAAATGTATTCTTTCATACAATTTTGTATGTTGTCTTGTTTTCTAAGCATCACTGAGCACTAGCCGACTTGCCTAAAATTCTTTAGCTTACTTCTACACGAAAAAAAGGATGAAACTATTTCCACCAATCCCATTATTTTCACAATTAAAGCAATACCAGATCTAAATTCATTCTTAAACACATACGACCTCCCTATGACTCATTCGACAAGTCTAGAAACAGACTCCTTACGTTGACAACATTGTCAGGAGCCATACCAATTTCCTTAAACTGTGTAAATCTATTTTACCGTAAAAACTCTTAATTAATTATTTTTTGCTTTTTGGTTAAAACAATTCTAAAGGAAAATTCAAGTTTCCACAGACGACACAACACACATCAAAGGATGAAAGAAAGAATATCCCGAATCGAATTCAAGTTTCATATCAAGTGAATCATAACATTTGGACCACCCACATAGTCCCGTAAGCCAGAGAGGCAGCAATATTTAGTAAATTAAATTAATTATAACGAGCATTGTTATACCTTCTTGCAACTCATATATAAGACACATTCATAAAACATCAACACTGCACACATACATACAGATACAGTTACGCATTCAGTTCTAGGAATTCGTTAGCGATTACCTCAAGTTTATGCCCCCAAATCAAAAGAAAACCTGGCAAACAAAAAAAATTCAAAATTAGTGCTAGCTAACAAAGGAATTAATTGAAAACCTAGTCCCATAAAACGAACAATTAAAATTAAAAAAAAATTAAAAATAATACAATCGACAATGTAGAAACTTCATAAAATTTAGGATTCAAACAACCAAATCCTACCCTCAACTTGAAACACTTCAACTAAGCGAATTCACGGGAGAAAAAAGCCCTGAAAGGAAATACAACAAATTAAACGAAATTAGCAGTAAAAATTAGAATAAATTAACTTAAAATATGTATAAAAACAAAAAGGAGGCGAACTGGGCTTACAGAAAAAAAGGGGTTTATTGAGTTTGAGACGAAGGGGAAAGAGATAGAAAACCCTCAATAACGAGAGCCCTGTGTTGTTGTTGTCCGAGAGAAATAGAGACAAGACGGACAATAGAGACGTGCAAATTTGTGGGGTTAAATTGAAATATGATGAAATTGAGTTGGGGCAACAAATTACATTTACTTTCTCTCGGTTGGGCACAATTGTAATATTGTAAACTTAAAAAAAATAAAAATAAAATAATAAAATAAGAAACAAAAAAAGAGATAAATAAACGAAAAAATTGGGGTTTGCGTAAAGTTTTGAAAATAATTATGAGCTATTTTTAGTGTTTGTAAACATAATTTTTGCCTTTAATATTTTTTTTAGAAAATTATAATCATTTTAAAATAAGGTATTTTAAGTCATAATCTCAAAAACAAATATATATGTGGCAAAGACCACCTAATTCATAACTCAAAAAAAAAAAAAAAAAAAAAAAAGACCACCTAATTCACACTCAAGCACCGCCTAGTGTGTGGAATGTGAGTCCATTTGATTTCTTTTTCAAACCCATATAATTAGGTATCTCATGGTTGAAATATCTTTACTAGGTCTTTGAGTAAAACAAATGGTTGGATTCGGTTCATTGTCATCCTAATCTTGCTTACGTTTGTCTTTTAACTTCTGCTGGAATTTCAGTCAATCGCCGTGCCTGTAACATCGGGATGGATTTTTCGGTGTAGAAGCTCCAACAATCAAATCATAAAGATGAATTTTCAAGTGTATTATGTATTTTAATAGAAAAACATTAGGAAAAGAGTTTTTGAGTGAACTCCTTATTATTAGATATTTACGTGTCTTGAGATGCAAGCTTCGTTTTAGGGATTTTAACCTTATTTTCTGTTGATTTGAGTCTGCCGCAGTTAATGGACTTTTAAGTTAAACATACCTTAGCTCGTGTAAAACGTTGACCCGATATCTCGCCATTTCACCTCGTGACCTTACCTCGTATCATCACACGTTGTAAGATCTGAACGACATTATTTCATTGGTAGGGATTCGTATGATGTTGGAGTTTTTATGTGTAATTCATTTACTTGTGCGCATAAAGCCCGTGTGAGAGACATAGTCCATATCAATAAATGTATGAAACAAAATAATTAAAGAAAAAAAGACTTAAAATACGAACATTTTTTAAAAGAGAATTTGAACGGTTGCACTTGCACCTACTATTTCTAATGTAAAATAGTCTATAATAATACATTGTTGAATATTTATTTATATATTACTGGAAAATGAAACCAAACGTTAACAAATTTATTGAGCTACAAATTAAGGCCCATATTAACTTGGCAAATATTTCGTGGATCAAAACCCAATTACAAAGCCCAATATTTTTATTGGATACATATGAAAAGCCGGACCGCCCCGCTGTGGACCGGCCGGTTCAATTACGAAGACCAATATTTTATTATTGGATATAGATATGAAAATTCAAACATTAATTGTGACAGACCGACAGTTGCAACTTGACGACGCCGTTGAATGGACGCCGATTGACGACTGTCAGTGCAAGAAGGACAGATACAAAACAGTAAGCACGTGGAGCATATAATATAACGTGCGTTCATGATAGTAATCCCCATATACATTTATTTATTTATTTATAAATTTATTTATTATTTGCAGTGAAAAGGGTTCGTTTTGATAAACTAGCCGTACGTTCTGGAGGGGGATGGAAGACAAATCTGAACCGTTGATCAAGAAGCGAGGAGGGTACCACGAGAGCTGCGAGGCGTGCACGATTGAGAAATTTAAGGAATCCAGTAATGGGATCCCCTTCAAGCTTTTCTCCTTTGTCTGGATTATCACTCTTGCTGCAGGTTGGGTTTCCTTTCTCTCTCTCTCTCTATACTGTTTTCTCTCTCTAAATTTCGTATTTTATTTTTTGAAAATTTGATGGGTTTTTACATTAATGGATGTAAACTTCAAAAAATTCAGAATCTTTGGGTTATTTTCGGTACATTAATTGTAAATGAGTACACTTAAACCTCTATAATTTAATACAGTCGGGGCTAGCAAAATTCTATTAATTTAGCGAAATATTAAATTATCGAACTAATAATTTCGTACTTTTTTACCGAGTCGGGACCAGAAAAAAGTATTATTTAAGCGAGATTATTAATTTATCGAGGTTCTATTGTAGTACGTATGTCATGTCAAGCTAGAATAATAGTTTAGAAGATCTATGAAATTGAAGTAACATTGAACCAAGAAAATAGACCTGCTTCATTTCTTGTTTATGAATTTCTTTAGATTTAAAGATTGTTTCTTACTGATTGTTCAATTTTTCGTGTTCGTGTTAATTTCTTGTTTGCGGATTTGACATTCATTAATGTACTCTAATTAATTGTGTCTTCTTTACTGATATTTACAGCTCTGCCAATATCGTCTCTCTTTCCTTTCCTTTATTTCATGGTAAGTACTTATCAACAATTTCGAACTTGCTATTATAATAACCTTTCAGCATATTATTACAGTGCAAAACGCTTACGCCATATATTTACATTTGTTATGTTTAGTTGGCTTCAACTAATCAAAAGAGTACACACGAAATTATGTAATAATTACCACTTGTACTTAACTTCAGATCAAGGATTTCCATATTGCAAAAAGGGAGGAAGACATAAGTTTCTATGCAGGATATGTGGGTTTGTTCCCGTGAACGTTGTCTTGTTCTGTATTACCCTATTTACGTCAGCCGTTTATTGAACGTTGATCTGATATTTCTTGAAGGGTCTGCTTTCATGCTTGGGAGAGCTTTGACTTCTCTTCTATGGGGAAAGGTGGCTGATAAATATGGCCGTAGACCGATTATCATGATCGGTACATTTACAGTGTCGGTGAAACACGTTTCTTTCGTTGCAGGCTTTATTCTATTATAAGTCTCGCGCGCCCACTCTCTTATTTTGTTCAACTTTGATTTAATTTTCAGGGTTATATTCAATACACTGTTTGGTCTTAGTGTGAACTTTTGGATGGCTATTTCGACACGGTTCCTTCTTGGAAGTCTGTGTGGGATACTCGGTCCGATGAGGGTATGTTGATCCAAAATTTTCTTAATACTTTGTATTACTATTAGAAACTCAATATGCAAAAATGGCTTACGGTTATTCATGTTTATGATTAATCATGCGTATTTGTATTTCGACTTGATCCAGGCATATGCTTCTGAAATATGCCGCGAAGAACACCAAGCTTTGGGGATGTCAGTTGTGAGCCATTCAACCTTCTTCTTCTTTGTTTTGACATTTTTACCCCTGACGTGTTTTGTCTGAATGGTTGTATTTGGTTTATTACAGGTTGGCACATCGTGGGGCATAGGCTTGGTGATTGGTCCAGCTGTCGGAGGTTTTCTTGCACAGGTAATGTCTTATTTAAAGTTCTAACCTAAGTTTTAAAATATAAACATGCTGAAGATTTCAAAATGTTTTATTTCTGCTATTTCATTTACCATTCGGACGTCTATTTATAGGAAATAAATAGTTCGTAAAAAAACAATCGTTTTGACGTTATAACTTTTAGCCTGCAGAGAAGTATCCACACATCTTTTCAGCAGAATCTCTATTTGGGAGGTACGCCAAACCATTTTGCTCGTTGATTTCTTTTTTGTCGGTGTGATTTAAAAACTCACTACGCCTTTTAGTGCAGGTTTCCGTATTTTTTACCTTGTCTTGTGATATCTCTCTTCGCTTTAGTGGCATTCATCATCTCCTATTGGCTCCCCGTATGTTTCTCTCTCTACGTTGCCTTTTCCGTTCATGCATGTACAAACCATAATTCGACTTACTGAAGAATATGAATAACTGCAGGAAACTCTTCACATCCATACCGAAGAAAACATAGGACGAGATTCCACACAAGCTTCATTAGAAGACAACTCATACGAGCCGACTCGGACACATAAAACGGAAGTTTCTGAGCTCAAATTCTCTACCCCTCACAGGAGCCTCTTAAGAAATTGGCCGCTTATGTCAGCAATTATGGTTTATTGCATTTTTCAACTTCATGACATGGCATATAGTGAGGTAATCGGTAATCTCTTCGTTATGTTCTTTTCTTGTTGTAAAAGAATTTTATCAGTGAATCAAGCACATATTATTTTACGATATGGTTAATTTCTATTTGAGTTAAATCAGTAAAGAGACAATGTGCACACATCTTTAATTGTTCAGAAACGAAAAAAAACATTTTAATATTTCGAAACCGGAATTGCTCTATATTTATAAATTATCTATTTTATTTGTTAAGATATTCTCACTGTGGGCCCTCAGTCCACGGAAGCTAGGCGGATTAAGTTTTACCACAGCAGATGTTGGTGAAGTTCTTTCCATCACAGGTGCAAAATAATCATTTTTATTTTCCTTTTAAACTGGTGCACATAATATATATTTATATAAATATACACCAGTCGAATATTTACCGAATTTTGATTTATCTAATTCAAATTTGTTGACAATTCAGGATTTGGTATGTTATTCTTTCAGCTCTTTTTATATACTTGGGTAGAGAGGATATTGGGATCTGTCACGGTTTCTCGTATTGGAGCTGTAGGTTTCCTCTAAAACTCTTATTGCTTATTTTTATTTTTATTTTTATTTATATATATATATATATATATATACATTTTTTATTTTTTTTTGTTTTCATTTCGGTCAACGCCATTCGAATGTTCGTCCTCTTTTCAGGTAATTTCAATTCCATTGTTAACAAGCTACCCCTTTATAGCCAAGTTATCCGGTTCGATACTCTTCTTAGTGCTTAATTGTGCTTCCATGGTGAAGAACATACTCTCTGTAAGTTCCAAGCTATTTTATTTATTTATTTTCAATTTCTTTAAAGATTTGTTTTCTCTTAGTTCATTTTGTTCGTCGTTTTTATTGCCCTGCACCGATTTTTATCGTATATATATATATATATATATATATATATATATATATATATATATATTTATATATATATATATATTCCAGATAGCCATTACAACGGGGCTGTTAGTGATTCAAAACAGAGCTGTGGTAGGTTCCAAAATTCTTTTTTAATCTTTTCTATTTTCAGTTTAGATAAAAATCTTTACCGATACAAAATTTTGCAGCCTCAAGAACAAAGAGGAGCTGCAAACGGCATATCTATGTCTGCTATGTCTCTTTTCAAAGCAATTGGTCCCGCAGCCGGAGGTTCCCTGTGAGTTTTTCTTTTAACAAAAAATATATTATATTTTATTATTACTTCACTCGAGTATATTTTATCGTGTATCGAAGTAACTTGGTTCGATCCTTCTATGTGATTGATATAAATGATGAAAGTGATTCAAGTGGTTGCATGCATTGCGTATATTCAAGTAATTAGTTATATTTTCTTCACATGAAATCTTTTGTATAACTCGATTTTCTTCAGACTATCTTGGGCTCAAAGCCGTCAGGAAAACGACTTCCTACCAGGTAACTAATCCGCAAGAATTCTCGTGTGACCGAATAGTTGGCATGTGTAATGAAACCGTAATTCTCGACAACATTTTTTATTTTATTTTTGTAATGCAGGTGTCACCTGGTTTTCTTCACATTGAATATAGTCGAGCTTGTCGGCCTGGTTATGACCTTCAGACCTTTTCTGGCACTCCCTTAAGACGATCTTTTCTACTTGACCCGAAAGCACCATTGAAGATGATTAATAACCCGAAACCCCGGAATTTTTGTGATCTTAAGAAACTAGACTAATTTAATTTAGGTATATGTATATATTACTAGTGTTATGAAATAATTGCTGGTCTAATTTCTTGTGATTTTTTTTTTTTGACAATGTAGGAACTAACTCTCAATTAGTGTTTTTATTTATTATTATTATTTTATTTTAATGGAGTAGGAATTCTATATGGTGACATCTATTAATACCAGTGTTCTAAATAGCGGTCGTGGCGGTCGATCTTTCGGCCGCCATATCGGTATCGGTTATAAACCTTTACGATTTTGTTGAGGCGGTTTGGAATATCGGTTTTTTACGGCGAGGCGGTTTGCGGCGGTTTTTTGGCGGGTCAAACCGATATATCGGTCAACAAATCGGGTTTTTTTATTTTTTTATTTTTTTAATTTAAATTAAAATGAAAATATGTTTTGATTTTTTGTTTTTCTCCAATTCTTTCAACTTCCAAAACCAAACCAAGTACTACCCCGTAGTTTATGCTTTGTTGTGTTTATATTAATTATTGATGCGAAAGACTTGCGTAGTATTTGTATTTCGTAAGAATCTTTTATTATATTATCATCTTATTATTTTTAAATTTTTGTTATTTATTGAGTAATTAGAATGATATAATAACATATGAATGATATGATAGAATTATGTTTAAATATTCTTTTATATATATTTTGAGTATTTACAAATATTTTTTTAGAAATATATTATACTAAATTTAAAAACCGATATATTTCTGATTTATCTCCGATAAATCACCGCCCCGATAACCGCCTTTTAGAACCTTGATTAATACCAATTCAAAATATATAAATTTGTACTCCAAAGTTTCACATTATAACAGAATATATAATAGAATTATAACAGGGCATAATATCTCAAGATACATTAATTATAATATTTTGTCAATTATTAATCACAACAAACCAATATAAATATTCAAGAAAAAAAATAAAAAATAAAAAATGAAAGGAAAAAGAAAAACTCACAAGGAAACGACGTCGGATTAGACAACAACAAAACTTCCTCCCTCCATTTTCTCTCTCTCTCCACGCTCACACGCGCGCACACACGCACACACACACTCTTCTGGTTGTTCTGCAACATTCACCGGAGACGAGGCACGAGCTCCGCCGCTAGGAAGCACCGGTATCCTGAAATTGAGAAGACAAAAAAAATGGCGAATCCGAGAAGAACGTCTTATTCCCTGAACCAACTCCCGATTTCGGACCCAATTTCCACAGTTTCAATTCCAAACCCCACACACAGCGTCGAATCTTCTAACATCCGTCAAAGTTTTCCTCAGAAAGCCCCACGCGATCCCCTTTCTCCTCTCCTTCTTCCTCATCCTCACATGGATTTCTCTTAGATTCCAGCACCGTTATGCCAAACCTTCTTTCCACCAATCTTCGTACACCGCGAACGACAAATTGGGCGGGTTTTTGAAGGATTCTACTGCCAACGTTGTGAAATTCTCCTCCTCTTCTTCTCTCGTGATGAAGGATAAACGTGGCTGGTTGATTGATCCCGTTTTACTTGCTTTGGATGCTGGAATTTCAGGTTTTTTATTTTTTTTTAATTTATTATTTTTTTCCTTATTTACTGGTGATTTGGAGAAGGTAGAATCATGATGAATTTAATGAGTAGGTTTCGTTGATGAGAGTTAGGTATTGGTAATTGTGGAAGTAGCAGATAAAGGGGGGGGGTGAACTACCGTACTACTATTTGTGCGTAATGTACACTACTATGAAGCTGCTTTAACTTGCTTAGTCCAAAATGTTTAGTATTCATGCATTTGTCTTTTTCAGTGTGTAATGACAGTATAGTTTTGTTGCATATTTTTATAGTGTTACTCAATGAGGGGTGACTTGTAATTTGCAGGAGGAGCAGTTTCTTGTGCTTCGATTCATGTCGGTGAGATTCGACCTGGAAGTATGAGGGGAAACCATCGACACCATACTTGCAACGAGACGTTTGTAGTATGGGGAGCTAAAACTGTGTTGAGGGTATGTATGCATTCCCTTTCTTATATAGACATGTATTCGGTACTCCAAAATATTTTGTGAGTTTTAAATTATTATGAACAATTTGACTTCAAATAATAGACATTTTACACGTTCCGGAATGCTACGGAAGAAAAAAGAGAGGAATGAAATGCTCTGGTTAAAATCACTTCTGTTTCGTTTAGACTTTTGTATTTATGTTTTATAAGTATTTCCTGACAACATAATCAAAATAGTTAAGTGAAAACTTGGCATGGTTTTTTGCTTGTTTTCGTATTCAACTTTTGTTTTATGCTTAGTATTTCATTTTTCATGAAATTTGATGTACCATTCAACCCAACTTTTCGGTACACATGGCGGGGGTGGGGGTTCTGCAGATTGCTTAGTATACTACCAGTGATGCAAATTTACATATAATTTTGTAAGGTAAAACAAAACCACGTTGAATTGCTGTATATACAGTGATAGTATATAGTAGATTCCTCGAAAGAGCTCAAAATGGATAAGTGGAGAAACAGACAGCAGCACAACTAAAAACTAATAGCAACTGAAGGCCTTTAATTCCGATTTCATGTAGACTTCATTTATTTGTTGTAAACTTTGATATTAATATTATTTGATATTCAAGTTCTCTAATTTCATGTCGGCAACTTGTTATTGAACCCCATAATGGTGATTAAAACGTGCAGCTGGAAAACAATGCAGTGACAAGTGGATACTCTGAGGTAACAGTTGGTGCCGATGAAGTTGCGGTTGCAGCTAGTTCTAGTGGGTCCGCACATGCTTTGCTGAATATAGATTCTGCTCGAAGCACATTTTTCTTAGGGTGCCAAGATAGTGTAATCAATTACAATGCATCCACTACAGATTTTAATGTTTGGCATGACCTATAGTTTGTTACCAGTTTTCCTTTTTTTTTTTCGATGTAGTTGTTTTATGTCAATATACTTTCTTTAGTTTAATTTTGAACAAATGATTACATTTTGCACAAATCTTATTATCCTCTTGTCATAATAAACAAGAACTTAAGGCAGGATTTACACATGCTATGTCTCATGCACATGACATGTCTTCTGTGGTGGACTCAAGAACATTTCATCGGCATTCTCGTCACTGCAATAGAGACAAGGATGCTGGTTGTTGAAGTGCTGCATCATCAGAATCTTTCTAGCCAGCATCACAATTTGTCTGTTGCTCAACGGGCCTCGGTTTTCCTTCAAGACCATTTGAACAGCATTACTAAAGGCTCCACAAGGTTTTCTTCCATTATCCATATTATTAATTTCCACATCAGCTGAAGTTTCATTTGTTTGGCAGCCACTAAGCAAGATCCCTTCGTCTGGCTTCAACGGCTTCTTTTCGATTGGCTGGAGCTCGTTAAACATGATGCTAGCATCTTCTCCAAACACTTCGAGCAAGTGTGTGCCTATGTCTCTGTTGATTTTGTTTGTTAAGGATGTGAAGTACTGCAGTAATGATTCAAATGGAATCTCTTTCGTCTTGTAAGAGTCCTGATTAACGCCGTTTTCTTTTTCTTTTTCAGGGCCTATTTGCTCTGTTTCTTTGTCTATAAGCCCTCCACTGTGGCAAGAATCAGACAGGATAGTAAAGGCTGCTCCTTTCGGAACACGATTCACAAGCTGCCTGAAATCAGCACCTGCCGAAAAAGGTATCAATCATATTGTTTAATTATTCAAGTTCGTAATTTCATTTTTTTTAATCAAAATATGATTTACGAAAAACTTACTGGTGATGAGATTGAAATCACAAGGTACAATTGCTTCCTCTTGCTTGGATGAATTTTTATTGATCAAAGTTCCATGGCCAGAGTAATGGAAAAACAAGGTGTCTCCTTTTTCTGCCCGATCGATCATTTTCGTTAGTGTGTTCTTGATATTGGCGCCTGTGGGCATGATCGAATTTTTGGGCTTGTCTATCAGAAGCTCAATAAATTTCGGGTCGAATTTAAATCGAGTTATGAGAATCTCACGCATGGCGAGAACATCGTTGTGGCATCCATGGAGCTCGTGGGGTGTGTTGGGGTAGTTGCACCCCACAAGAAGAGCCATTTTCTTGCCAATCTCCATGTAATAATATCTATGGTAAGAAATTAGTTTCCAATGTATGTTTTATCTGAAAATAATTACCGGGTTAATTTGAGATGGGATTTCGGGTACTATATATATATATATGTATATTTGCGGAGACGATGGAGTTGTTTTTTGCTTGTGGTGTTTGAACAAATATTGCTTCTGCGTAAGGAAATGAAGAGATTTTGAAGTGAAAGCAAGCAACAATCTTGTTGAAGTAATTTCAAAGCTGTATATTGAGCACTATGCATTCTGCCCTAACAATTCAAAAATAATAATAATAGTAAATGAAACAAAAAAAAAAAAAAAATCATTAACACTTTCACATGTACCAAGAAATTATATAAAAAGTAGTAAAATATTATATTTTATTTTAATTTTAAAGGCCAAAAAGTACAAAAAAAATACGAGGATATAAGTGTGATCAAAGGAGAGCAAGATGGGCCCCTTTTGGAAACAGCTCGGGAGAGAGGTATTTGGGCCTTTTGGCCCAACAAAAACTAATATGCTTAGGCCTTAGAGAGTGACTAGGGATGTGATACTTTTAATATTATTTTTTCGACTTCAAATGTTATTTTGACCATTTTTGACTCGAAGTTCGGCGAATCTTAAAATACAGAATTTTCAGTTCTTTGAGTTAGATTTATAATCCAACTTGAAACGCCAAGATTGGTTATGGGGTGAAAAAGATATGCATGAATCAATGAATATTGACGACAATTTTGATGTTTTGAGTTATCTAAAATTCAAAATGTAATCCATTCATGTATAACTTTGCCATCCAAAGTTAATTAAAGTTGTATTAGAAAGCTAACTCAAAGGACTAAGGTTTACGTGTTTTAAGTTTTGTCAAAATCATACTGGAAAATAGTCAAAATCAAGTTCGAAGTCAAAATGTCTTTCGTTGAAATTGAAACGAATTTTTAATGAATGTTTATCATGAAAAGCACAAATTAACCGCAAAGAAATTTATCCTTTTTCCTTCATTTTTTAGGTTAGAAATTAAAGTGCGAGACTAATACAATTTTATAAAGAAAGGTATATTTTTCCACATTTAAGACATTTATTGTGAGATTATTATGTGTTGTATATTTTGGTTAGAACACGTGGGTGATATAGTGTGTTGCGTTGGAATTGAATTCACGAAGTATGGGAGGGGCATGATTTGAATCCTAGACCTCTAAATACTTTGATAGTAGATGCTAGATACCAACTCTCCAAATAAGGGTTTATAAAACATACACACATTAATTATATATTGATATAATGGTGCCCCAAGAAAACCGCAAGGTTGCAGCACTGATCGTGTGGTGCAATTACCAGAATTCGAGAAGGATCTCTCCACTTTACGGTTGTCATAATGATGCGCAAACAATATACCAATTGTTTACTCTGCCTTTATGGAAAGCTCCAAGCCCGGAGATCACTTGGTCTTCTTCTTCTCCGAGCAATGACCTATGATTGAGCCTCGTGTGAAGGATGCACGTGTATTGCACGTTTTGAGTTGATTTTCTTTTACACACACACACACACACACACACACACTGGTATTTTATTAATATATTTTTATTAATTAAATGTTATATATCGAACAACATGAATCGATAAGGTAAGAGATCATGTCATAATACAAGTATTAATCTCATTTAGAATTAAGTACATGTTTAAAAAAAAATAGAAAGATGCACGTGCATTGCACGTGTTCAGATTAATTTTCTTTTATGCTTTATATTTTGGTATTTTATTGGTACATTTTTAACAATCAAAATATTTTATATAAAGGTAATATACTTTTATTTATCAAATTAAATTTGTTAATTTGTTAATGGTAAATATTTAGCAGCATTCGAAAAGGATCTCTCCACTTTACGGTTGATGCGCAAACAATGTACCAGCTGCGTACTCAGCTCTTCGGGTATGACTCGAAGAGCATACCTATTATGACCGACGACTCAAGCACTCCCCTGAATATGATGCCGACGGGAAAAATATAAAACACGAACTCTTGAAAATGATGGAAAGCTCCAAGCTCGTAGACCACTTGGTTTTCTTCTTCTCCGGTCATGGAATTATGGTTAGTGGTTAGCCTCGTGTGAAGGATGCACGTGTTGAGTCGAACTTTCTTTTATATTTTATTTGGTATATTTTTTTTCAATTAAATGTTATCTATCCAACAACATGAATCAATAAGGTATGAATCATGTCATAATACAAGTATTAATCTCACTTATTAGTACATATTTTTTTTAAATTGGAAAGATGCACGTGCATTGCACGTTTTAAGTTGATTTTTCTTTTATATTATATTTTTGGTATTTTATTTGGTACGGTTTTTTCAATTAAATTTTTTATATCCAACAACATGAATCGATAAGGTAAGAGATCATGTCATAATACGAGTATTAATCTCACTTAGAAGTACATATTTTCTTAAATTTAGAGAGATGCACGTGCATTGCACGTTTTAAGTTGATTTTTCTTTTATATTTTATTTTTAGTATTTTATTTGGTACATTTTTTTCAATTACATGTTATATATGCAACAACATGAATCGATATACAAGTATTAATCTCACTTAGAAGTACATAATTTTTACAAATTAGAAAGATGCACGTGCATTGCCTTATTATTCTAAGATGTGATATTAGGCATCTTGGCACTTGTTGGGGTTCTTTCCAATCTCTTGCACAGGCAACCTACATGATATGAAAGACAAAGAATAAGACAACAAATTAAAAACAGAAAAAAAAGGGAGACAAGGCTAACAGGCTTCACTGCATCAACCAACCCCTCGGATAAAAAGAAATTCGAGATGATCAGCATTTTCGAGAAACTTCGAGAGAAAACGGAAATGGTCAGCCAATTCAAGATTGGTTAAATTGTAAAAACTCGTAGTCTTCCAGGCAGAGATTTCTGAATCGACAATTTGTACATAAATGCACAACAAAAATAATTAATTAATAATACTCACCACCAGTATTGAAAATGAATGATAATTAAATCAGTTGATGAAAAGATCGAATGTGTGACCTTCCAATAACCCCCCATTAGTTTTAAGCACTTAACATTGCTGGACTATCAATAAACTCCAGAATGGAACGAGAATAGTGTGATTTATCTCGTATGTGGTAAACCTTATGGTATATATCTGCTTCGATTAAGAAATGCAGCTTTCCAGATTTGATATGATGGGATGTGTGATCAACTAACTTGAGATGTGTTAGAGCAGGTGTATCTATCTCCAGAATGTGATAATGTTGGTATCCCATATCTTCGGAATCCAAAAAAACACTAAGCCTTTTTTATGGTCGGTGAAGATATAATACAAGAAATCAGTTCGTCGAAAGATTCGATATCCAACCTCCAGCATTGGGTATCGAGAGATGAGGTGTTGAAGGGACTCGTCGGCTTCATACTGAACAGATGATAGTCGAAGCTTCCATGGGGATGACACTACATGATGCCAACCTTAAATTAACGAGGGTTTTGAATGTGAAGAGTCGTAGAGGCAAAACGCTAGTAAGACAACAAAGATCAAAATTTGGGACATAAGCGCATAGAAACCTCCATCTTCTAGCTAGAACACTAGTTGTGACAGAGAACTTGGTTGGGAAAAACGAGAGAATGTGCAAGAGGATTGGGTCTGGCAAATTGCCAAGCCTATCAATTGATGTATTTTGTTCACCATTCAGGTGCTCTGTTGTATGTTGTTCTGCTATTTCCATAACGACATGGAAAGAGAAGAAAAGAGATAAAAAGACAAAAATGGGTACGTATGTATGACGGAAGAAAAACAAATTGTCAATGAATTTGTTTGAGAAAATTCATTCATGATCCGGGAAACTTTTATAGGAAAGCTTATGTGTAT